TAATTAGTAACGCTAGCTAGGAGAAACTACAAACTATTCACTAATGAAGAATAAGAGATGAGAAGAATTTTCACCTGTTATGCTAATCACTTTCGCTCAGACTATGAAATATCTTTTTTTTTATGGATAGATGGTGTCATCATATAGAAAAGAAATAGTGCAAGGAGTGTGTAAGGGAGGGAACTTCCTTCAAGCGCATTGTAACATCCTACAAGCACATGTGAGCGCGTTAAATCGAAATGAAGACAATCGTTTAGTCCTTGGGATTTTAGGTGCTTGGTTGCTAACACGTTCAGCTCACACACTGAAGTCTGTGGTTCGATCCCCGGTACGGGTGGAAACATCAGAGCGTGTTTTTTTAAGACACTTGCTGCCCCTGTACACCTAGCAGTAATCAGATACCTAGGTGTGAGACGATTGGTGTGTGTCTCATCCTGGGGACAAAATTTACCTAATTTGCCTGAAATTCGCTGCATAACAAGGGGCTTTTTATACAGTATGCAACTGATGTTAGCTATGGTCTGTATAAGTTGCACATTTACTTGTAAAAACAAAGATTATTATTATTATTATTATTATTATTATTATTATTATTATTATTATTATTATTATTATTATTATCATCATCATCATCATCATCATTATTTGAAGTGTGAGCGTGGAGATGTCTATGAAGGAATTCCAAAAAGCCGACTTTAGACACTAAATTCTGGGAGGTTGGGAGGTACACCGTCTGCAGTTTTAAAGTTTGGAGGAGATACCGAGGTTTGTGGAGTCACTATCGGAAAGCAAATTATATTTTATTGTGGAAAGGCAGCTAGAAAGTGGGCGGTGGATGTGTCTATGGATCCCCTTCTCACAAACACGAGAACCTGAACAATTAGCCAACATTAGCATGTACATGTCATACGTAATACAGCACCGGGATACGCAGAGTAAGTATAAAACCCTCATCTCACCAGGGATACCAAGTAAACTGAGAAAGGTCGGAAATCTGCTACGAATCTGATCCCAGAACTACGAGACCTGGGATACGAACATAGGTGAAGAGAGCTAGATTTTACATATCTAGAAAACAAGAATGACAAGTGAACACATGTACAGTACCCAGAGACCTAGACAAAGCTGATGGAAGACTTACTATTTAAGACAAGAGGAAACAGAATAATGGGACATTAGAAATACATTTAGAAGGGATGCAGTGAAGGCCAACTGAATACATGGACTAAAGGGTAAATATAGCAGAGCCCTGAAAGACACAGAATAAGCCACAACAGTTGTTAAAAAAAGCGACAAATTGGCATCATATCCTCCTGATGACAGCAAGAACAAAAAAAGGTAAATTTTTGGATAAAGATACTTAGAAATATGACAGAAACAATCTGAATGCATCAACATGTTACAAGAATTATGCACTATTTGTCGGGCAGAAAACATTCTTTCCAAAAATTTTCGATTTTTTCCAGGAAATCATTCCTCCCCCTAAAGTGCATAGGCGAGTAAGCCCACAGATGAATCACTGTTTCTCAGTGATTAGAACAGTCGGTACACAATTAAAAATAACCAGGCTCAATTTCCGGCCAAACTGAGGTATACTCTGCTGTTTCGATTCACTCTATCACAAACGTTACCCTCTCGGTGGATTTTATGATCCCATGCACCAATTTGTCCTTGGAAAATGTCAGGAAAATTGGGCCCTACAGGCGAGTAACATGTTATAGAGCTTTAGACAGGGCAAAGAGTTAAAACTCTTTGCATATTTCTTCAATCTTTTTGCTTAAGCTGTGATTTTTATAATCGCCAAGATCTGTGATACTTGTAGGGACCTCGGAGAAAATTCATTAGAAGTTTGAATTTACCGATTAAAAACAGCTTTAATGGTATTTACCCTCGTCATGTTTTGGTTTTTCAGCACTGATGTGTATTTGTGTCAAATTAATTATCTTATAGGTCACAACGCTTTGTAAATCTTAGAATTTCTTGCTGCTCCTCTTCAGAGAGCAGTAAACAAGTACCTGTGTGTTAGTTGACTGTTGTGGATTGTATTCTCAAGGATGAAGTTCGAATGCAAATAATATTTATGAAGACAAGACAACCTTCATTGTTCTGTTCCTGCAATTAAAAGTAGATGATTATACACAGACGTATAATTTTCTCTCTCTCTCTCTCTCTCTCTCTCTCTCTCTCTCTCTCTCTCTCTCTCTCTCTCCTCTCTCTCTCTCTCTCTCTCTCTCTCTCTCTCTCTCTCTCTCTCTCTCTCTCTCTCTCCCTCCCTCCCTTCCTCCCTCCCTCCCTTCTCTTTCTCTCTCTCTCTCTCTCTCTCTCTCTCTCTCTCTCTTTACATGAATTATGTATTCGACGTTGAAAATCTGTGATAAATTAAACGCTTCTTTTCTCAATGCATTAATGCAGTGCCTTAAAATTAGCAATATTTCTTTAAAACGAAACATACAGCTTAGCTTTACCTGTTAAAATTAATATAAAATAAATGACTACATACTTGTGTGAGGTGAGCGCGCTGTCATTTTGCTGGGATGAGTAGTGGTGTTGTAGGCTGTATGGGACACCTTGGGTGACTGGGGAGTGTTGCTTACCGGCTTGGGAAGTACACACGGTTTAAGTATGGCGGAGGCAGTCCTGGTCTCGGCATTTCTCGAGGGCATGACAAGAGGTTTGGGTGTGTCTGTGACCTCTGGAGTGTGAGGTATGGGGCTGCCTCCAGAACTGGGCGTGGTCTGCAAGCTAATCACCTCTTGTGTTTTCTCATCTGACGGATCTTGCAGTTTGGTGGAGGTTGCGGTGTTGCTGCTGGAGCTTACCGTGGATTTCGACAAGGGGACAGATACTGACACCTGGGTTGGAGTAGTAATCTGAGCCCTTTTCGAACTCCCTTTGGAGGACCATTATGGCTTTATTGACGACATTGAAACTGGTTAGATCATTGACGTCACTGGCACAAGTTCGAACCACCCGTGCCTGCTTCAAGAGACCCTCGATGATACGTCGTTGTCTCAGATTTTCCACCAAGTTAACGAACGTCACCATCAGTAGGTGGACATTCTCTTCAGCAGCAATCTCTAGTTGGGTGGTAACGCGCGACGATCTAATCTTAACCATCTGGCAATGCAAGGAAAATTTTAAAGGAACATGTAGCAGTTCATCGAACAGTTGATGGATATTGTATTCCCGTACAAGTATTCCAGTATTGTCTCATTCCTTTTCAATTAATGCATATTTATGTACGTGAGTCTCAGAAGACACATCTCATCAGGCATTAATTTGGTTTATAAACATACATGTTACTTCAAAGCATTTTTATATCTATCCATAGTTCTTTCTTAAATTAAACTAAATAAATTTCCAAGTGTGTGTGTGTGTATGTGTGTGTGTGTGTGTCCCGTGATTCGGCAGGTAGCAAATTCAGCTACCATACTGAGTGCCTGGGGTTGGATCCCCGACATGGAAGACAACATTAGATATGTTTCTTTACCCATGTTGTTCCTTTTCATCTGGAAGTAAGTAGGTACCTGGGTATTAGTCGATTGCAGTGAGTCTCATCCTGGGGAGGGGGGTAGTATTCTTTCAAAATGAGCTGAGGTAATTGGTAATTACCTGCATTACTTTCTCATTTATTTATATTTATATACAACAAACATTTCCCAATAATCAAATCTCCACCAAAAGAACAATCACACGATTTCAACAACTAATTTCTTGGTGAGAAACTGACAAGAAATTGTATATACCTCCTGTAGGCGGACGAGCTGATCCTGGATTTTGACGAGGTGGTGGTCAGGTCTTGGGTGCTCCTCGAACAAACACTCGCCACATGCTGCTACTTCGCAGGTGACGCACCAGAAGGCCAGGCGAGACGCATGCTCAGAGCACACGTCCTGATCGGAAAGTCATGAGAAGTGTGTTACTTTATGATTTACACGAGTTGATGAATGACCTGATATTTTATTAGTGTAAATAAGAACATGGAATATGGTGACAGACACAGGGTGTATATCAAGCATATCTGTATAGAGCTTCACAGCTCTGCACTGAGTGAAACGTCGTGCTTCCGCACTCAAATGTGTAGTTAATATGCCATTTTAACGAAGAATGTGAGCTTGTATCGACTAGAAGAGTTCGACATTACAAAAAATATACAGAAACGTAAGATTTTAAATGTAATAATGTTAGTAGAATTAAATACAACATGTGCTTGTTACGGCTTGACAAAGTTCCTGGTGAGCGAAAAGTTACCACAGTAAAATTTTGCGTAAGTAGCACTTGTGTCCTTTTATGTAACATAAGATTCAAGATGCTTGGAAAGAGCAAGTGTATCATTCAGTGTCATGCGATGTCCCTACACCGTAAAGATTTTACAGAAAACGTTCTTCATTGCATTACCAACATATAACTGGCTCTTTAGTAGCTGGCTCAAAGGTTCTGAAACTCTGAAGGAATGTTTGTCCACAATACATGATGTGATGTGATTATTATGCAGATAATTCGTAGTTTGTATATATATATATATATATATATATATATATATATATATATATATATATATATATATATATATATATATATATATATATATATATATATATATATATATATATATATATATATATATATATATATATATATATATATATATATTATATATATATATATATATATATATATATATATATATATATATATATATATATATATATATATATGTCGTGCCGAATATGTAAAACTGGTCAGTTAGCAAGAATTCATTTAAAATTAAGTCCTATCGAAAATTTTCTCTTATACGTTTAAAGATATATTTTTTTCATTAATGTTAATGTAAAATTTTTTAATTTTGCACCAAAAGAATCTTAGAAAACTTACCTAACCTTATTATAACAAGAACAATTTATTTTGGCCTAACCCAACTAAATATATTTTAGATTTGTTTACAATAATTTAATACTAAACAAACACAGTGAAATATATTTTTTTCGTTATGTTCAGAA